ATCGCGAATACATTATATGTTAAACTTATTTCTAATAATTATTATAACAATCATTGCATTACTTATCAAATATATGTTCGGCAACACTAGTGTCGACAGCACTCAACGGGTCGTCCATTAATATAATGTCAGAGTTTCGATACAGAGCTCTATATATGGAAACAAATTATTGTAATTGTTGTTATAATGCAATAAAATGGACCCAAACCTGGCTAACCCTATGCGGGCCTTCTGTCCGCCCGACAACTGTAGTCCTCTCTCACCGACTAATGTCTTGTCTCCGAACGGGAATCTCTCAAAGTCTCGCTCCAAAGCGCACACCTCTACCACTCGATTATACCGGGATTCGCTAAATTGTTTACCAAAAAGTATATTATTTCGGACACTAGTGTTGAAACTCCAGGACTCCTGTGAGGCATAGCTTATCGATCCCACAGTTTCTATACTCCCCGACAGAAGCGGCAGTTCTTTCAAAATTGTCATCAAAAGTGAGCTCTAAATATTGCATTAGTTATAAATGATTTATAATTAGATATTAATTTATAGTTAATATTTAATGGTGTCATACCTTTCCCGCCCCGACCGGTCCGATAACAGCCAATAAATCTCCGGGTCTTAAATGTAGCGAAATATTCTGAAGGGTTGGATACGGACTTTCCTATAAATGATGTATAATTTAAAATAAATTACATGTTTTGCAAAACACACATATAATTTCATACTTCACTCCATTTGGCGGTTATGTTATTAATGGACATTTCGGGCGATTGTTTGCCATTTGTTTCACTATTACATGAATTATTTGGGTTTTGAATGGATTTTATTTGTGTTTCTTCTAATTGTAAAAATTTCTAAAGGAATAAAAATTAAATGTTTTTATAAGTTCACTTTGACACCATGGTCAATATTACTTCAATTCTGTCACATGAAACTAATAACTCGGCGCCACAAGCAATTGATAGTGGAAACCACCATGTCATATTGTCTCTTACAGAGTCTAATAGCACCATCGATACAAATACAGTCTTAGCGTTCAGTACACTACCAGTGAGTACCAAGGTAATAAAAGTTGCAAATAAAATCAACTTGGTTGCCATACTATACATCGACATGTTGATTGCCTTTAAAAAGCAAGATTTCTGTAAATACGACACTTCCTGTCTATTTGAATGACAAATACTTGTTATGGACCATAAATTATAGTATATAATTATTTGATATAAATTATGGTCATTTACTTTCGTGTCTCAGCCACGAGGTCTGCGAAGGACTGTTCCCAGGAATACATTTTAACGATACGCATACCTGATATGATCTCAACCATATATTGCAGCCTAGTGTCAGTGAGCTTTGCGGTCATTAATCTGGGTAATTAGTGCAATGAAATTAAATTGATTAAAGCAATATTGTATATAAACATGCTTATACCTAAATTTTGAAAACATGTTGCCCATAGTGAATTGAAATGCAATAAGTAAAATTATTAAACCAACTGGCACCATGCTTGACCATCCCATATATGTGTACATTATATATGTAACGATGGCCGTCTGAATGGGGGATATTATAAAATAACTGGCGTATAGTGGAGCCTGAAAACAATAATTATAAAATTAGTTAACTTGGTTAAATTGGAGTAGTTATATACTGTACATAATCAAATCGACTCGCATCATTAGACAGTAGGTTAATAATATGACCCACAGTTGTCTTTCCCATTGATAACTGGTTTAGTTTAAGTGACTATTTTAAATATGATTGAATTATACTGCTATCATAAGGAAAGGTATATATTTAATATAATTAACCTTTTTATATATAAGTGCACAGCATGGCGTACGGGCGCGCATTCCCAATTGTACAAAACGTGTCGAAGTGGCCGAATAAAACATTACGTATAATAAGTTGCACAGACACACACCCACGGCAGCCATACAAGCATGGTCATATCTTATATGATCAACGCCTGCAAAATAATCAAGTACATATCCGAGTAGTAATGGCTGTGCCGTTCGAATTACACATTCCTATCACGAATTAATCTTAATAAATATTTGTATTATATTTATATCAAAATGTAGTTAAATATTATTAATGAAAATATTGTTTTAAAAGGTCGTGATAATTTTATATATAACTCACGATTAATAAATGCAATATAAATGGTAAAATATGATATTTGGCCAGCGTTTTGAATAAAGCAATATATAATTTTGGTGCTTGTTTCTTTAGTTCAATGTCCCAATTTCTACATAAATATAATCTTATTTAAAATAAAGTAATCATGATTATAATTATATATATTTTTATCTTATAAAAATGCTAACATGCTAATTATAAAATGAAATAATAATTAGTGAGCAAAACCTCTCTAAACATTCAACCAAATACTTGGAGGCGTCGTATTGAGAGCACCGACACATGTCCGCAAAATCCAAACCATTATTTTGCACGCCTTTCACAAATAATGGATATATCCACCTGGTTAAAATAATAATTATAAATAATTTATTAATTTAAATGTGTTTATAAATAATAATTTATAATCAATATTACAAATTATTATATATTTCGATAAAACTTAAACACAAATTAATAATATAATATTTACTCACCAAAATATTAGCTTTTCAATACAGTTTGAATTGTCCCATGGTGATTTTTTGTTAATTTTAGCTTCAACATCCATAACTTTATTGTAACTATATTTATTTTATAATTTACTGTCCAACGCCGGTGTTAACAATTTATAGTCATATATAAACATATAGCCATTGATGTATTTGTAACTCCAGGTTCGTTTACCATTACCTGAAATATTACTTGTAATTTAATATTACTTTTAATGTAAATGTATTTATAATAAACACGAGCGCCTATGCTTTTTCTCTTTTCACTGCTTGTATTAATAATTAATTATCAATTATTGATATATTTTTCTTAATATTTTAATTTGAAATCAATAATAATTGAGAGAGAGAGAGAGAGAAAGAGAGAGAGAGAGAGAGAGAGAGAGAATCTTATAATTATTATTTTTAACTACAATTCAGACATAAATAGTGTGGTTTATACAGTAGTATTGTAGTATTGTTTGGCTATAATAGTAAAAATAAATATAATTATTTAAAAGTACAAACAATAATAATTATTCGTTATTTCACTAGTAAAAAGTTAAGAAGTTACGGCCTATTATTAAATATAAGTAATTTGCTGAATAAATTGACAAAATCTTTCTAAGCCATTATAAGTTATTACAATTAGTAATTGATTGATAAAAATATATTTCACCCGTCACTCAGTTCTTACTTATGGCCGTCACTGACGGCGTGTATCGTGTGTTTGAGTCGACCGGCGCTGAAGTGGCGGTCAAATTGCTTCTCAGGTGTCCGAAGCGCTCACACTATTGCCCGAACGTAAGGGCAGTGAAGGCACACATCAGTTGGTGTTCAACGCAAACCTACCGGCGCTCGGATTCACAACTTATTTTGTTGACAAACATAAAGCGGTTGAAAAATATGGGAATACTATTTGTTTATTTAAAACTGTAATTTAATCAAAATGTTTATTAAAATATTAATTGAGGTGATTAGTAACTAACCACATGGCCTCGACTAATTGGTGGCAATTTTTTGACATCATATAAAAATAATTATTGAATTGTTATAATTGTATTGTCAGACCCGTTGATGGATGTGCTGAGCGGTGAGCGCACGGCCGCCACCGTTGAAATGAAGGGCAAAACATTGACTCTACGATTGGACTCGACTACCGGTGCTCTCCCGTCCATTACAATCAATGGAGAACAATCATGATCCGGTGATAAATTTGTGATCATTTAATTTAATGACTTTATAATGATTGTCTTATAATCAAATTGAATTATTACAGTTAATATTTAATTAACGGCACATAAATTTAAATGTTGATGCTTTTGTTTAAATGCTAATTGTTGAAAATGTTTTAATAAACTGTAATCTATATTAATTTATAAATATTATATTAATCTAGTATAATGAGCAATATATAAGTGGGGACACCGCAAGCGAAAGTATTATTTATTTTTAAAAAATGACCTAAGGTTTTTGTCAAATAAATAATTGCTTAATTAATTATATATTTAATTATAATGTACAATTTAAAACTTTATTGTTTTAGCATTTATTTAAATGAAAATTAAATATTATTTTATATATTAAAATATGGTTTCTATTTCACGCTATTAAATTAATTAATCATGTATTAAAATTAATATTTAAGTTTACCTGTACAGTTTGTAATGACAGCATTACATCAATATCACAAACATTGTGTATTTGTACAGTTAAAGTTGCGGATGAATTTTATACTAGATTTAGTTAGATTATTTAACTGACTATATCTGGTAAGCCACCTATGGCTTATAATTTGGATCAAGTGCATGCCAATCTTCGTATTGCCCTTCTGGAGTAAAATTTTTTTAAATTTATAATGGTAATATGAAATTATTACGTAAATAATTTACGTTCTGTCTACGAGAGTGTTGTTAATAACTACTCTCTATAAAATATTATCTTCTTGAAATAATTATAAAAGTTAATTTTAAAATAATTTAATTTTAAATAAACTAAGAGAGAGGTTTTAAATCCATTTAATAAACACACCATGGTAAACGCCATTGCTATTAAAATCCAGACACAATTACTGAAAGTGTCAACTATTTTGAATAAATTATTATCAGGCAAGTATTTTGGAGAATGTATAGCCCGCGCCAGACATACCAATTGCCGCTGACCTACACTCAGATTAGCGCCCCCTTCGGCCAACTGGGCGTCCAACTGGCCCGGGAGGTCCCCCACCGCCCCCTTCAGCTGCACCTCTTCTAAAGCACTCCATAAGTTTTGATCGCTGTATTCGCCGAAAGGATCCAAATTTTTTCTGACGCTTCCCGTGAAGACCACCGGATCCTGAGGTATGATTGATATCTTTGACCGCAATTCACGCAAACCTATTGATCCCGTGTTAATGCCATCCATTACTATCTCCCCCTTCGGCTCAACCATACGAAACAGCGCCGATATGATGGACGACTTGCCGGCGCCCGTCCGTCCGACGATCCCTATCTTCTCTCCACTTTTTATAACGCAATTCAAGTTCTTGAGCACCGGTTCGTCCGATCCCTTGTAGTATAGGCTCACATCTCTGAACTCTATCCGTCCCCTCTGTGGCCAATCGGCGGGCGGTTTGCGGCTCTCATGCGCTGTGAGGGCCGCCTCTTGCGGTAGTTTTGAGTACTCAATGATGCGCTCGACTGAAGTCATGTCACTCTCCATCTCTGCCGACTTACGGATTCCCCATTCAGTCATTCCCGTCAACATTAGGGCTAAATTATTTGATTAATTAATATTGATGTTAGATTTAAAAAGTGATTTTCCAATAAATTTTTAATAAAATTTTTAAATAATAATGATTAAATCTTCATAAATATAAAAAATCGGACACAATAAGATTTTTAAACTTCGTACACTTTTGATATACTATGAACCTATTCAAGCTTTGATAATTGAAAGTTTACCGATATGTTAAAAATCTTATTGTGTCCGATTTTTATATTTATAAACTTTCAATTATCAAAGCTTGAATAAGTTCATAGTATATCAAAGTGTACGAAGTTAAACAAACCTGATGATAAAGCGAGTCCCGCATCTCCTGCTCCCAACTTTTCGGGAAATACCATAAACACCGCGAATATAATTGCAATATATACAAAACATAGACCATCTATGAGTATAGCAAATGCAGAACAACTATCCAAGTCGAGCATCCAGGTGGCCGAGTGATCATCTTGGTACACGTAAAATTGTTTTTCAAACATTTCCTGCGCCCCAAAGGCCCGAACACTGGCCAACCCGTTAAGTGTAGTGCTCACGTGTGAATACACTGGACTCCGAGCTATTCGTTGTTGTAGGAAATAAAAATAAATTTAATTTTTTTTTGTAAAAACTTACTTAAACCTTCGGCCCGTTTAATGTCTCGTGCAGATTTTATGTAAATAGTCCTAGCTGCTATGAGCACTACAATTAAGACAAATGCTGGTATTATTAAGTATGGGTTGACGATCACAATCATGATTATTCCACCGATACCTTGTGTCAGGGCCTTAATAATCACATTATACAATGATATACATAAATATTTAAAGTCAATAGAATTTTAACTGTTGGTAATTGTTTTTATGCAAACGTTTAAATTACCAAATTAACGCCCCAGGCTGTTTCCGGCAGTTGTTCATCGATTATACCAAGATCGCTTGAAAAGCGATTTAATATGCGACCTATTGGTTTAATGGTTTTATTTATTGGTTTAATGTTTATAATGAATAAAATGACAAACCATCTGGGTTATTTTCAAACACATACATCGGGGCCCGTAATAGACGATAAAACATACTGTTGTGGAGATTAACAGAAGCCCTCATAAACATTACAAACCATGTGATGGCTCTCAATAGGGATGCGATGAACAGCGCGGCCATCAGTAAGGAGTAGATAATCGCATCCCTGTTCTGTTCACATGTATTCGTGTTTTGATTTTTGTCAGTCCTGTTGTAAAATTAGATATTTATTTCCAAATTGAAACATGTTTAATAATTTCATCACATATTCACCATTGAGTTAAAAAATAATCCGATCCGTGATAAATAGTTTGAGCGATGATCGTAAATAAAATAGTGGTGAAAAATAGCAATGGTCCGGCGCCTGCCTTAATAAATGTGCAATATACTTCGTTAGACACGGAACCCGTTTCCCTGTCCTCGTCAGCGATTTTCGGTTCTGTGTTTTCCACTTCAGTCTTAATCAAAATATATGTATATTTATTAAAATTATTCATACATTATATGATAGATATTGACTACATTTCTAATGGTCAAACTCTCTTCCATTGAAGTTGTTTGAAGTTTGAATTTGCTGTCATAACTGTTCAGTTGTCTTTCCCTGTTCTCCTCCTCCTCTGCCTTATTATATGCTTCCCTCTCCTGATCCTTGAGAATAGACATGAAGTCTAAGCCCCGGGACTGGAGCTCATCATAGGATCCCAATCCCAGACACTTTCCCTCGTCGTTCAAAACCAATATTT